GCTAGCATACACGGCTAATACAGTTTACCTATTTAAGTTTATTCATACACTCATATAGTTCAGTGTGTTGCGCCAGTAATGGCATACAAATATCAGTAGCAAAGTATACAATGTTCGCATTTGTTGTTAAAGTCATATTACATTATATAATTATTTTTTTATTAAAAAAAATAGAGTTCAAAAGTTCGTGGTCGCCAAGTTTTACTAAAATCGGTTACCGGAATGTGCGCGAAACCGGATTCATTCCCTAGTTTGCCGACCTTAGAGGTGGAATCTTTTTTTCAAGTTTCAATCGGACCAAAACTGAGGTACCCTCTTTCCAACAAAAAAAGAATCATCAAAATCGGTTCACAGATGCCGCGTTATCACGTAACATGCGTACAAAAAAAATATGTTCGAAGTTCTCACCTCCTCCTTTTTTTTTGAAGAAGGTTAACAAAAAGGATCGCACGTCAAAATAGTAAATATATAAACGGTCGCAGGCTTCAAAATTTAAATGTACTTACATTATAAAAATAATTTGTCACAAGCAATTTTTTATGCACATGTTGTAGCCGTTCCTTTGGAAACATGTAGTAGTGTCCATGTATGGCGGGTTAAAAAAGGAATCCCATTCAAATAAATTAAATTGCAGATTATATTAACAATTAGCTAGCTAGCTAGCTTTCGTGGTTATTCACTAAATGATTATGACTAATTACAGGTTTCTTACCACGGTATGAGGTTTTTTTATAATATTTTAGAACGGGCCATAGTCACGAGGTCACCCGTGAGTGTCAACCAGGGATCATGGTGCGTGTAACCGTAAATATCATAAAAAGAACTCATAGCGTGGTAAGAAACCTGTAATTAGTGACATCATTTAAATAATATGATTGTTTTTAGTTATTATTAACCACAACTAACCTGATAGTTAATTATTTTTTTTACTGTCGCACAAAATATACCATGGACATATTCAGAACTATAAGCCAGAACGTTTAATCGAAATAAAAAGAGAATTATATCACAAGTGAATTTTACAAGTATAAATACCACTCTATAGATAGAAATTCAACGTAGTAAAATCCCAGTCAAAAATGTAAACTCCACCTTGCAGTTGAAATGAAAATTACCACCCAATATGTAACTAATCCGCTAATGGAATTTCCTTTGACTTCGTAGTGGAAATTTAAAAAAATAAGTAAAAAAATAGTAACACTGGGGAACGTGCAGAACATTCCTGGTAGGGTGCATTCGGGATTCATGCACATTTACGGTATTTTTTGTACTGGCCAGAAAATTACTTCATGTTTCTTTATATTAAGCAAGAGACTTTGCACGTGAAAACACGCAAATCCTTTTTTTATTAGAAAAAAAGAGCCATTCTTATTTTAAATTTATGAGCGGCAAAAGTTTTTCTAGCCAGTAAATAATAGACATTGAGATTTAAAAAATAAAATTGAATGTTTTGTGAAACGTTACAACATTTAATATTTAAATAACAAAATAACGGTTACAAATTATTCTATTAATAATGTATTTATCACTTATTAGATTGTAACGTTTCACTTTAAACATTAATAAGGTTAATCATAAGGACCACATGGTTAGGTTGGCCAACATGTAGCAATAAAAAGTTCTAATTTTAAATATTTTTTTTTACATTAAATCGAAAATTGAATTTACTTATTACAGACGTCACAAATCGCAATTACAAAATGCAATTTTGACATTTAACTATGTGGACCCAAATTAAACTATAATAAAGGGTAGGGTTATCAACATTAACAGTTAGTGAAAACATCCAAACACCGATAGTGGCAAGAAAGTGATAGAAATATACACAAACAACGAGATAGAGGGGGATAGAAAACATCGAATTTTTCACACCGATGCGCGGTCCGCACGGCGACTGCCGGCCGGGTATTTTTGGACATTTTTTTAATGACAACACTTCTTTTTTTCTGTAAATTACGTTGTTTAAAATCCAGAATGTTTCAATGTATTTTTGTCTCTAATTATAAGTATCTTTGCGTAAAATATTTAGTTAAATGTATCCTTTAAATTGCGGCATTTGAAATTACGCTGGCGGTTGCCACGCATTTTGAATTTATCTTTAGACAGTCACTTATCTTTCATCAGGTTTGACGCGATGTCGTGAAGATCTTTATTTAAAGTGTCCACCGATAATAAATTTATTTTTCATCATATTTGTTTTTTTATGTATTACCTTTTTAGACTTTTATTTTATATTACACGGTCTAAGAATATTTTTGAAATAATTACAAATTGTCATGGTTTGTCCTTTGCATCTACCACGAGATTACTTCGACCGCGCAAATTACTTCACAATTTTGTATTGCAAATTATACATCACCCCTAGCGGTCACTAGAAAAAACAACATTACGTATATAACATATTTACGCGCGAGAACTGTCACGCCATCTCATTAGTAGAGGCACTTTTCTAAAAAATAAAACCGAACATATTCAAAATTTAAATGTCGATTTCAAATCTCGTTTCTGTCTATTTAGTCCCATCGTGGCATAAAAGATAAGATGCTATCTTCAAAAATAGATTTTCCCAAATCTTGAAACAGAAGTAAATTGCCCCGAACCGCTGGCATAGACCTCCGTTCTGCTCTGCCGATCTCAAGTGCTGACTAAGCCCATACGGAGCATAAATGTACAGGCACAAATGCTTTCGTAGAGGTTGGCTTCTTTTGAAATTCATTTTGTTGTTGTTGCTTTTTTATTTCAAATGTTGTTTTTCTATTTGAAATGTTGTTTTTTATTTTAAATTCTATTTCAGATTTAGGTTCTTTTGGTGTGAGCCTAATAATATTATTAAATGACAAATTATATTTATCTTTCGGTAAGTATAGGTGAGTTATATTTCTAATTGTATTACAGCTCTCACTGTTAACATAGCGTTACTCTTATAGCTTTGCTATTATTTTTCGAAAAACTACCAATCTTTCGTATGTTGTAATATTAATGTTCTTTGAGTTTAAAAAAAGAATTTCTTTAAAAAAAGTCTATGAACTTTATGATATACGCTATCAATTTCAATTTTAGAACGATAAGTTTCAAATATTTCTTAGACACATCAAATCTTTTTCGTTACAACATTTCTAGTTTCAAACAAATCATACAGATTAAAATGATCTAAGCCCAAAATCGAGTAAAAGAAAGGACGCACTATGTAAAAAGTAGAAACGTAAAGTCCGACTGAACTGCAGATATGGGCGTTATGCGACTCTATGCCGCAGCACTGCAGTTAGCTTACACATCTTCCACCATATCGATTTACCATCTAGCCGGAGGCTTACAATAAATCTGCATGGTTTTTTGGGTTTATATCCATAACTTGCAGCATTGCTCTGCAAGGATTTAGTAGTTTTGTTCAAATATTCAAATTAATACATTCGAAATTTAGAATTTAACGTAATTTCTTTATTTTTAGACGAGTTAATACACGTGATTGTTTACAATGTTTGAAAACGTCTTTTACTTTTGGTTGACAATTTTTATAAATTTATTTTTAAATGTCACTATATTCATCTATTACATTTGTCATTGCTTTATGCGTTATTTATTTGCTATTTCTGAGTAATTATTTTTCTGCTTCTGTCAAGCACGTCTTATGTAAAACGTATTCAAACTAGTCGATTTTTAGTCTGCCTGGCGAATTTTTAATTGGCTCAATCACAACATGATTAAATTGATTGCTTAAAATTTTTGCTGCAATCATTTATGCTATATCTCTAATGAAAACAAGTTACATTAAACAAATAAATGTATAACAATAAATATGTCAATGTTTTTTTAATGTTAACATAATTCGTCACAACAATAACGTGTCTAGAAAATCCATTAATACAATTCCATTCACAAATAAATAAATTTCGGCATCTGTAAAATGTTTTCGACTGCTCTGTTATAATGATATTTATTTTTAAAATCTACGCGTTGTGTATGAATGAATCAACATTAACTATAAAAACTTGAGGAGGTTTAACATTGACTTATACTCCGTAAGAGTAATTTCACAAAAAAAAATCATGGCAGAAAACATAATAATATTCAATAAAAGCAATTACATTTCATAATCAACATTTCTTTTTTTTTAACTCAACCTTTTTTTTACACAATTGGAACTTTATAAAATTACTGCGTGGTTTATTTTAGATCGTTACGTTTTGTTCATTCTTTAAATCATTCACGCGTTTGAGGAATATCTTATTTTCATACATGTTTGATCATTTCCTCCGTCACAGAACTTCCTGTTTCAAACGCCGTTCAATAACAAAATAGTAATTGAGTATAAACCCTTACGCAATCTTTCACCATTGCTTTTCCACAGAGTCACCATCTTATTTAGCTCACTGTCTTTGTTTCCTTTTTCCCAATCTTTTCCCAGATATCCCGACCTCGAAGGCTTACTATGCATGTTCATCACGGCTCATTATCGATCTGTTTACACGCATTGTTTTGAACGCTTTTACGACAGTACTATCTTCTTTTTATGTACCGACTTTTCTTTCTTTATTTTTCTTGGTATTTTTTACATTTGTTCCTTTTCAGGGTTATCAGGACTTTAGAGTTTGTTTTTTTTTATGGAACTTTCTTGATATTTGCAAATTTTTACTTTAGTCGTTTATTGATTCATATCGTTGTTATTGGATTTAAAAAGTTTATGTTCGAATTTTGAATTTGACTCTAGATTCGTTTTGTTTATTTTGGTCTACTTTCATGATTCATACTTCGTTATCGATTTACACATTGGCAGAGTGCCGCGGGAACACGTGCGTTTTTTGGATTCGGAATAAAGGTTTCTTTCTTTTATTTTAAAGACACTTCGAGCAAAAGCTTTATCCAACCTACCACATCAGACAATCACGTGCGTCCATCGATCGGACGGCGAAATCGGAACGTACCGAAAATACCCGGGCGGCGGTTGCCTCGGCAAGCGACATTAGCCCACAACATCTGTTAATATGATCATTGTTAATTACATATGGGTTGTTGTTAATATATTGTAGCCACCTGTCCCGAGGAGGGCGCTTGGAGGTAGGTCGCTACGTCGTCCACCATGCAGGCTCGCGGTAGCTCGGGGAGGAACATAATACGTTAGAGGGCGCGCATTTCGCGAGAGCGGGCTGCGCGGCGCCCCGCGACCGACTGGCGGGCGGCTGCTGGCTGCCCCACCCCGCGCCCTCGATGGCCCCTCCACCCGCGCCGCCTCGCCCCGCCCTAACGTCAGGGTTACCATCTCTGAGCTTTTCCGCGTTTTCCACAGACTGCTTTTTGCTGAATTGCGACAAGGGTTAGCTATCGCAGTAATTAGATACCATATAGTAATGCAAAGTTTTAAGCTTGTATTTTAATTTTCCAAAGCCTTTTGTGTAGACTGCTCTAAATTATTTCATTTTAATATATTGTCTTATGTTTCTTGATCTTATCAGTCCATAAAACCATATAGCAAAAAAAAACAATTTGCATTGATAAACCTAAGTAAACGTCCAGGCCACTACAGGCATAGATGTTTCTATACTATTGCAAATACGAAGGACAGATGCTGGGTAATCTTCAGATTTCTTTTCTCCGCCTCATTACGGTGACAATTTTTATTACTCGAGCATATTATCGTGAAATATTAAATAATATTTAGTGGATAAGAAGAGGAAGCCCGCCAGCAGTAACCCGTGTGGCACAGCATCGACAGGACCGAACTACTCCTGCTGCGTCCGGCCATACCGACGACGCTGCTGTACCAGGGGCGAAGTCTGAGGAGACAGTGGAGTACATCAGACATAAAGCCAAATACACCCTGAGGATCGAGCGGTTGGAGTCCCGCCACAATGAGAATTTCAATTCGTTTGTGTTGTAAGTACCGACCGAACATTTGTTGACCTTCATGAAGGAAGAATTTTGGCCGAAGGGTGTCATATATCGGCGGTTCCGCGGCCGGTTACCTGACACCAGATTGCATCACACGTCGCCGACAAGTGCAATTCGTGTACATTAGTCAGAAATAGTGTTTTCATATATTGTTGTATGTTAATCCTTAAGGTATATATTATATGGGTCACGTGACCTGAAATAAATGTCGAATTTAAAAAAAAATATTTCAGAATACTACTCTCGAGCATTAAGATATTTCA